ATCCGAGCTAGGAAACAGGGGGAAAGTTGGACAGTGCTTCATTTCATTTCTTTATTTAAAATATGATTACCCGGCCTTGCCCCTGCAAAAAAAAGGACTCTGGGTGGCTTGCATCGTTAAAATCAAAATATTAGGAACTAAGAACGGTAAATGATTCAAATATTAAAGAAGAATTAATAGCAGCCTACTGAAAATGTTATGAAAAATTAAGATTTAGAAGCAACAGAATGTAAACTCATCCTGTTTAGGGTCTCCAAAATGTTGGTTTGGAGGTGCCCGGAAAAAGGCCACGATAAGAGTTCAAGTTGTATTTAAAGTATGGAAAGGTAGAATTTAGCAGCATCTGGTGCAGAAAAGGCAGGATTTGAACCTCTGTTGCATAATGCCCGAGCAATGATGTTCAAGGCCTTACGATTCGAGCGTCTCTGGGTGGTTCCTAAAGCGAAATTGAGAGTCTTCAGCGAGGCCACGGCGGGTCCCTGCAAGAGAGAGAGACAGCTCCCGATGTCCCACTTCCCTTCCAGATCTTAAAGGACCTTCGCACTGTCTCAGTTGCCTTGAACATCCTGGAGAAATACGGCCGCAACTTATTGACCCCCCTCAAGCCTCGTTTCTGGCGGATGGTCAAGTTCAACAATCCTGTCTTCCGGGACACGGTGGACACCATCAAGGTGAGAAAGATGCTTGTTTTTCAGGATATGTTGAGGGATACAGTTCTGGACATAGCATGTTTATTGTAAAGCATGGTTGTATGTTTGTGATGTCGCATTTCACACTGGTCCATCTTGTGCTCCTCGTGGTGTCTGTTCGCACCTACGCAAAACCACAGTGGGAGGTCACTGGAAAGATGGAGTGAAGTTTAACCATCACCATCATGGCGACGGTTCAGCGTCGCTCCTCCTCTTTTGCCTTAATCTCTGTTTAGAGAATGGACTGGAGAAGGGCCAGTTTTCATCTCTGTAGCAGGCATTCCACTTGCTATGGGTGGCGCTGGGCTCCCCTTGAAAAATTTGGGTTCCGGGGGGTGCTCATTCAAGGAGCTTTCCCACTTCAGCAAATACATCGGCCGCGACCCCTTCTCCAAAGAGAAGGGATCAGCTCCGTTTTCCATGTCCTAGCCACTTTTTATGTTGGACTACTGCAACATGTTGTGTGTGGGGCTGCCTTTGGAGACTGTCCAGAAAAGTCAGGGAGCTCAGAACATAGCAGCTAAATGGAAAGTGGGTGTTATGAAAACATAGCATGAGTGTTTGAGTGGCTGCCCTGGGTTTAAGCCTGTTAAAGATTCAGAAGGTGATGACCAAATGCTTTTCATGTTAATGGGAAACCTTATCATTATTAATGGGAAAAACTTATTAACTGTTCAAGCAGTACGACAATGGGACCCATGACCTCGGGGAGATGGTGAGCGCTTCAATACTGGAGGCCTTCAAGAGAAAATTGAGGAAACCCTCTTGTCCGATCTGCTTTGACTAGGAATTCTGCCTTGAGCAGGCGGTCGAACTTGATGGCCTCAGAGGTCCCCCTTCCCACTCCATAATTCTGTGATTTCTAACCCCCATTCTGCCGTCTTCTGAACCCTGGATTGCGCTTTTCCGACAGGGCGGCCGCGATGTTCTTCGCCTCTACGGCTACTCTGAAGAGCAGGGGGACGGGCTGTGCTTCCCAGAGCATCTCCTAGAACCAGACATCGCCCGAGTGGCTTCTGTCACCGTGGACATCATGCTCTTGCGGGCTGAGCTGAACCTCCTCCTTTCGGTACGGCAGGAGGATGAGAGCGAGAAGTCGCGGCTGGGAGGGCGGGATCAAAATTGAGGCTGTTGATTAGGAACTGGAGAATGTCCATCGTTCTTTTCCCGTTTTAGGATGCTCACCCCAATCCTCTGATGTTTCAAGAGTTAATAAAAGGATACGACAGTTTACAGGTGAGTATCGGATCGGTGGCACTGGGCTGGTCTCTGTTCTCACCAGTCACGGATACAAGAACCGGAGTTGAATTCAGATCTTGCTTTTCTGAGGAACTTGGTGGTTTTGAGGGGGGGTCCCTCTCATGGGCTCCATTTGCTGTCTGTAGAATGGGGCCAGCCCTTGAAGATGTCAGGAAAAACTTCTTAACAGAGCAGTACGATAATGGAACCCATGTCCTTTGTCAGGAAAAACTTCTTAACAGTTAGAGCTGTACGATAATGGAACCCATGTCCTCGGGAGATGGTAAACGCTCCAACGCTGGAGGCCCTGAAGAGGAAATTGGACAACCCTCTGTCTAGTCTGCTTTGACTTGGATTCCTTTATGGGGCAGGGGGGTTGGACCTGACGGCCTTAGAGGCCCCTTCCAACTCTATGGTTCTGTGATTTCCAGAAGCCATCTTGAATTGCACATCGTGTGTGTGCATAGCTTCTCATCAGCAGGTGGTTGCTTGATGGCCTTAGAGGCCCCATCCAACTTTTATTGTTCTGTGATTTCCAGAAGCCACCTTGAATTGCACATCGTATGTGCGCATAGCTTCCCATCAGTAGGTGGTTGTTCTAAACTGCCTTGGGTCTTAAGGAGGGGTAAAAAAATATTGACATACATTTTAAGTAAATAAATACAGTAAATGTACATTCTTCCTCTCCCAGGCCAGCCTCCTCACAGACGCCTGTCCGGTTCAAGAACACACACCCCAGCTTCCAGTGAATACATTGTCACAGTCAGGTAAACGTCAGGCAGCGGCCGAAGGCCCAAAGCGTAGTTTCTCTGATGAAACCTTAAAGTTCAGGGTGCTGAAAATCCCTCGATCATTCTACATGCTGGAATCGGAGGGGTGGGATGGCATTTCGCATTTGGAACAACTTGGCTTCTGGGTTGTAATTACAAGAGCAAAGCAAAACAAAATGAGCAGGTTCCTAGTCCCTATGACAGTCACGGGAAGCTTTAGGATATGAGCACAGTTTTGCTTGGTGGGCCAAAATTGGACTTTGGATAAATTCTCAGCGCTGCACCGCAGGGGTCGGAAGGCCCCAGTGTGAAAGAAGCAAGGGCCAAAAATACTTCCGTAATTCCGATTAAAGCTGCCAGGAACTAAACCTTAGGGGAAATATTCTTGCCAGTTCCTTAAGCCCGGGGTGGGGTGGGGGGGAGCAGGTGCAAAAAGCAGAAGTTTGCAAAGCCAGGTGCTTAGTTCAGGTCTCGCCTGACTTCCTCTCTCTCTCTCCACCCACACGCCGGCTGCCTTGACACAGGGTACCTTCCCCCGGACGCCTGCCTCCTTTGCGGATTGGAGACCCCGTCCTTTCACTGCGCCGCTTGCGCCCAGTCCCTCTGCCTAGACTGCGACCGTCTCTTCCACAAACACCCTTCGCGAACCCATCACCAGCGGGTCCCCCTGAAGGACCACGCGTGGCGCAGCCCACCGCCTCCACCTCCAGCGCCACCTCCTTCCAGGTAGTACTGCCAATCCGTTGGTGGATGTTCGTCCTTTCCCATGCCTGGGCCCTTTTCCTTTCCGCCTGCGCTGGGAAGGGCGAGCAGCCAGTTTCGCCGTTCCTCGAAGTGCTGCTTGTTACCCTCTTAAGTCGCTTCCGTTTCGCCGTTCCTCGAAGTGCTGCTTGTTATCCTCTTTTAAGTGCCGTCAAGTCGCTTCCAGCTTAGGGTAACCCTAAATCAGGTTCTGGGGTATGTGAAATGTTCAAGGAATTGTGTAATAGCTGTGGCAGAAGGAATTGCTTTCTTCCATATTTCTCCCCATGCCATATGGCAGCCTCTAATTCCCCCCAAAATGGCATTTTGTGAAACTTCTAGCCACTTCTTCTCCTGGTTTTTCCTTCGCCCCCTTCCACCGCCACCCCTTTTGACACTTTCAGGGCTGGTCCAGCCTGCAGTGGGTCCTGGTGATGAGCATTGATCCTTTTGCAGGCTGCGAGGACGTCTAAATTCCACTTACCCTTAATCTAGGTCCGTTCACAGTTTTGATTTCAGATAAGGTTTATGGACTGAAGCAGCGTCAGCCAGAAATGTCTGCTTGGCCACTTACCGATTTATTTATTTCAAAAGTTCTTACCCTGTCTTTCTCCTTAAAAAAGAAACCAAGCTGGCTTACGTCAGTTGAAGGCAATCTTTAAAAGCTTGGAACAGTAAGTGTGCTGTTTCTAGCTTTGAAAGGCATGCAGGACATGGAACGATGGGGTGAAGTTGGAAGAAGCCAGATTTTGGCTGAATATTAGGAAAAAACTCTTAACTGTTACAGTAGTACGACAACGGGACTGAGGACTCTGGCAGGTGGTGAGCACTGCAACGCTATAGGCATTCAAGAGAAACGTAGACAACCACCTGGCAGATATCCTTTGATTTGTTCTCCTGCATCGATCAAACTTCACTGCTCTGTGACTCTATGGTACAAATATTATAAAAGAATCAAAGAGATACTAGGCTAAAACGGTCAACAAAATCAACACCAAAAATAAAAGCAACAAGGCACAACGCTCTGTTTAAAAATACTTCTCAGAGGGGCAGTCATTAAAGGAAAGCTGACCTGAAGAGAAAGGTCTTCTCCTGCAGCAAAGAGGAGGCTGGGCTGGCCTCCAGTGGGAGGGAGTTCCAAAGTTCTGGGAGCAGCCAAAGAGAAGGCCCTTGTCTCAAAGATGTGGCCACGGAGGTGTTGGGTATGCCCGTTGGCTCCAAAAGGACCCAGTCCTTTTGCCCGTTTAAGGGAAATCCCATAAACCTTTGGTGGCAGATGGAGCGCCTGCTGAGGAAGGCAACGAGCGTCTGCTCAGAGGGTAACCATTTGCCACTGAGACTTCCACAATTCCCTTACGGAAGCGTGGATCGACCACAGGATCCCAGCCAGTACGTACCTTATTTTTCCGTGTATAAGACGCCCCCATGTATAAGACGCCCCCCCCTTTTCTAACCCCAAATTAAGAAATCTAAGTGGGACTTAGCAAGTGCAGGGGGAAAGGGATCGAAGCGTTGCAGGATCGCTTTGATCCCTGCTTTCCCCTCCACTTGTTTTTGCTCTCTCCTCAGCTTACTTCCGTGTGTAAGACGACCCTCAATTTTTAGTCTAAAGATTTTAGACAAAAGTATAGTCTTATATATGGAAAAATACGGTTATTCAGAAGATACGTGACAGCTGCAGTCTTGTCCATTGTCAGTTTGTTGACCGAGTGTTGTGGTTGTGATCCGTTTAAGCCTTTCCATCGTGGCCTCTGATGCGACGTCCTTGCCGCCGATGGAGCCCCTGACGGCGCCCTGGTCGAGCCTCTCTGCTCCGCGGCCCCCGTGGTCTTGCGCGAACTGTCGCACGACCAACGACGCCCGCTACGTCCTCTGCGTGGCCTGCGACCGGCCCCGTGGCTGCCGGATGCCGCCAAGTACCAGTTCGGAAGAGGACCCCGGGAGCTGGGGCCAGACGGTCCGGGGACGCTGGTCCTGCCAGTCCTGCACCTTCGAGAACGAGGCGGCCACCGTCTTGTGCGCCATGTGCGAGCGGCCGCGTCTGGCTGGGAAACCCGGGATGGGCGACGCGAAGCCCCTGATCGCCTGGGGCCCAGAAACGGGACAGCAGGAGGAAGAGGTAAGTAGATGGATGTCGGGTGGGCACAGCGTAAATCATGCCTTTGTACCAGGATAGCTCAGTGGCTTAGATCTCGGGCAGCAGAGCCGAAGGTTGAGACTTCGATTCCCCCTGTGGTGCCTTCCTGACGGGGCTGGACTGGATGATCTCATGGGGTCCCTTCCAGGTCTGCAATTCTACGATGATGATTATTATTAAATCTTAGCAGACGAGGTGAAGCATTGCTGTCCCCCCCAGTTACCCAGAGGCTGAATTAAAACAGAGTCTTCCTATTACAATTTGTCCTCCTTTATTTACGTCTGAGGGAGTGGACTTGTCTACGAAAAGTTTACATTAAAATATAGCAGTTAATCTTTAAGATACTACCGCGACAGCTTTATATCCTTTACTTTTAGTTCTTCATTTAATTTTTTTCCCCTTTGTTTTTTGCCTGATCCGTTAACGCAGACCGACACAGCTGGTTCTTCTAAAACTATTCCTTTATTGGTTTCTTGCAATTATCGCTGGCCTTTTTTCTCTCTCTGAGCAAAGGTACGAGCAGGAACAGAGGCAGGCGGAACACGCGATGGGTTGATCCCATAAAAAGGCAACCACTGGCTTCTAGTTTGTGAAATCTGAGCACAGCTGGTAATCGCAGGCTCTTTGGGAGGTTATTAATTCCTAGGGCTATCCGGAGTCCAAAGCATCAGCACAGAACCACTTCAGGGTTTTGAATGCCCTGTCCTCAACCAGCCCTGCTCAGCTCTTGCAGACTCAAACCTGTGGTTTCCTTGAGGGACTCCTTCCATCTCGTATTGGGTCATCCTCTTTTCCTGCTGCCTTCTACCTTTCCCAGCAATGATGGTCTTTTCCAGAAAATCCTGCCTTTTCATGATGTGTCTAAAGCAGGACAGTCCCAGTTTCATCCCTTTTTTGCCTCCAGAGAGAGTTTGGGCTTAATTTGATCTAGGATCCACTTGTTTCTCTTTCTGGCTGTCCAGGGGAGCTGCAGATCTCTCCTCCCGCGCCACGTTTCAAACAAATCATTTTTCACCCCCTTCACGGCCCAACTTTCACAGCCCCTCCGTTCAAGGTGGTCAGAAAGACAAGAAGGTGGATGATCTTGGTCCTTTTACCTATTCATGGACGCCATTCCCTTAGCCACATCTGCTGGGTTCTGCTCAGCCCACAGCTGGATGCAGATGTATCCCCATCTGGGAGCTTCAAAACCCCATCCATTCCCTGCTCGCATCTTGTCTTACAGCTTCTGTCTTCCCCCTAGCTGAAACAGGGATGGAGCAAGGGAGAAATAAGGCAAATTTGCTAAGGAATAAAACTAAGTACAAAGAAGTCGGAATGAAAATACTCATCCATCCCCTGGGAATGAGAATCAGAGAGGCAATGGACGGGGAAATTTATTTGCAAGAACCCCGTTCTTGTGGTTGCTGCTAGGCAGGGGTCCTACAAGGTGGGGGCTTCTGGAAGTGAGAGTCTGAGAAGTAACTTTTCCAAGGTCTGCCGTCCCCAGGAAACACTTCAGAATAACCGTCACCCATCGAGGTCTCTTTGTGTTTTCGAAGTCCCGCTAGTGGCCGATAGGCAGATATTTGCTAAAGGGCGCCCTGTCCTTCCATCCCGGATGGCTCAGCCTCTCCCCGTTCCTTCCCCGCAGTCTTCCGGCTGGCAGTGCGAACACTGTACGTACTGGAACAAGATCCGTGGCCGAGTGTGTGAAATGTGCAACCGGACCACCCAGCGCGGAGGGCCGGCCCCGGCGCTGCTTCCCCCCAAGCCGGAAAAAGAAGAGGAGGACCGACAGAGGAAAAGCCTGACGTCGGAAGTCAAGGGGGATCCCAAAGATGGGAACAAGACCTCGCTCGTTTCCCAGGAAGAAGCGGAGCGTCGGAGGCAGGAGAAGCTGCGCGAGGACGGGCAGAAGATGGTGGCCATGATTCGGGTGCGTAGGTCCTGGAATCAGAGACAGGGAAGAAAAATCTGGGGACGTAAGAGATGTAGCGGGAAGAATTTGTTGCAGACTATCAAACTTTTGGTTAAATTTCTTTAGGTCCCCTGCAGAAGAGCAGAATAGAATGGAGCAGAATAGCTTCAATTCCCCAAAGGGAGTCCACCCCCTTTTTTTTCATCCACTGGCCCTTACAGTCTCAGTAACTCGCTTTGAGAAATTAGAGAGCGGAGGAACTGAAGGTTTCAGCGTTGTACAGTTGAAATAGATCAAACAGCCAACGGACAAACCTGGCCGGCTGATTTTTCAGCAACGGGCCTCCACAAAACAACCTGCTTCTAACAGACTAAAGGGAGGGAAAGAGACACAGAGGAGAGAGGCGGAGCTGTCTCTGAATTCCGAGGCAGGGAAGGAACGATTGGCTAGTCCTGGTTGACAGCCATGCCAGCCCAAGAAGGTCCCTCCCAGTCATGCCTGCTAGAGGCCACAGGCGAGATTGAATCCCATTTTCTTTTATACAGATGAATACCCACCTTCCTTCCTTTAAATTCCGGGTGGCTCCCCTCGGAGGCCGAGCTGCAAATCGCTCTCAAGCGTTTCTCGGTTGGTCTTTCTCTTGGCCACCCTGTCCAATTTCACCCGATCTTTATGGATTTCTTTTTCTTCTCCCCCACCCCCCACCAGGAGGCCGAGGCGTTTGGGGTGGCCCCCGAGATGGTGGCTGCTGCCTTGCGCTACTCTGGGGCGGAGCTGCCTCTGGCGTGGCTGAATTCGGAGCTCCCTTGCGTCCTGGAAGGGATGGCGGAGCTGGCCACGCAGCGTGGCGAGCAGGAGCCCGGGGGCGGACTGGGCGTCATCACCCGAAAGGAAGTCCAGGCCGCCTGGGTGGAGAGCCAGGGAGACGTGGACGAAGCCGTCGCCCGGTGCCTGGCCACCCGGCGCAACAAGGTCAGCCCGCGCGGGATGCTTCAAGAAATGGATGGGCTTCCTGAGATGGAAGGTTGTGGGAAGGGAGAGGGGGTCTGATGCAGCCTCCGGCATTTGTCTGGCTTGCAAACGTCTGCTGTTATCTCTGATCGGTGATCGGAAACAGTCTGGATAAGAGGGAGGAGCTGAATCCTGGGGGAGTGGGAGGAGCCGGGGGGAACTCCAGGGTGGGATCTGGGCAGCGAGGGAGGGGCTTATGGTGGGAGGGAGTGGGTTTTGTGGGCGGAACCTTAGGACAACATTAGAATGAGGGAGGGAGGTTCCTCTTTGAAAATGGGTGGGGCTGGAAAGGGGGAGTGGCTTGTGAAAGGGAGGAGCCTGAACGGGTTCGAAATACAGTAGGAAGGTTTTGCAGGTGGAGACGGTGCAGATTTTTAGAAGAGAGCAAATATGTTTGGATTTAAAAGACAATAATTGGGGGGGGCGTGCTCAGGGGCCACAGAGTGAGGAGTTCCTATGCCAGCTCTGGCCAAGTCATCCTTTGAGCTCCTCTCCATCGATCGTAGCCCTAAGAGGATGGGAAAGTAATCAAGGTGTGCTCAGAATGTGTGCGAAGTATTTTTTTGAAATTAAATCCCTGGGGATCCGGCTGCTGGGGGGGGCGGGCGGTGGGGGAGTGTGTCTCACCCTGAGCGTTCTCTCTCTGAATAGATCCAGGAGCTGAAGGCGCTGGGATTTGAGGAGCGCGGGCCGGTCTTGGAGGCGCTTTACCAAAACAACGGCGAGCTGTGGCGGGCGTTGGTGCCGCTGCAGCGCCGGGTGTTGGAGCCCTTTCATCAGCAGCTCTGGGAGGAGAAAGAGCCCCCAATCGACGTCCATTGCCCTGACCGGCAGGTGAGACGGGCCGACCACAACGCGTGGGCCCCGGAAGGGCTCCCCTTTCTGCTCGGCTCCCCGGGGTGCTTTACTAATGATCGGCGAGGATGCTGTCCTGCCCTTTCTTCCATGAACTCAAAGGATTTCCTCATTCCTCCTGTATCCCCATAGCAGCCTTGCAAGGTAGGACAGGCAGACAGACAGAGAGAGTGAACTGTATTTTTCCACGTATAAGACTATACTTTTGTCTAAAATCTTTAGACTAAAAATTGAGGATCGTCTTATTCACGGAAGTAAGCCGAGGAGAGAACAAACACAAGTGGAGGGGAAAACAGGGATAAAAGTGATCCTGCAGAGCTTTGATCCCTTTCCCCCTACACTTGCTAAGCCCCACTTAGATTTCTTAATTTGGGGCTAGAAAAGTGGGGGGGGGTCTTATACATGGGGGCATCTTATACACAGAAAAATATGGTAAATGGCTCAGGGTCACCCTGTGAGTTTTTATTTATTTATTTTATGTACGTGAAATCTTTTTACCCCACCTCTCTTTTCCCAAAGGATGCACAGTGGCTCGCCACAATTAAAAGACCAATCTTAAAAAGCTAAAAACAGTGAGTGTCGCATCGCATCGAGTCACCCAGTCGTATCCGCCCCTTGGCGATGTCGCGAACCAGCTCTCTCCCACGATTTCCTGTCATTTGCGGCTGCTTTCGGTTGCTTAATAATCGTGGCCAGTGCCTGCTTTGATTCCATCCAACCAACGCGTGTCCTTTGGTGTCCTCGTCGCCTTTGACCGCTGACCGTTCCGAACGTAACAAATATAAATGTATAAAGACAAAGGATTAAACAAAGTATTAGGTTAAAAACGGTTGACAAAATCAATATGATTTTGATTTTGAAAACAACAGAGCCCAGCGATCCGTTTCAGGCACGCTGAGGACTAGAGCCTTGATTTCCCAAGTCCCACAGTGACCGTCGTGCTTTCCTGCCTCCTTCCTTCCAGGCCCTTCTGCGGCGCCTCTTGGCCTCTCTGTCCCTGCCCAGCTGGGGACGCGCGGAGCTGGTGGTCTCCCTGATGCTGGAGCAGCCGGCCGACGGAGGCTGGGAGCTGGCCGACATCGTGGAGGCCGTCAAAGCCTCCCCCAGTCGTGATTTCATCAAGCGCCTGCTGAACTGGGAATGTGCCGTCTGCAGCTTGGCCCTGCCGCGCAACAAGGTACGCGTGTGTGTGTGTGTCCCTGCGTTGAAGCCGCAGTCTTTGCTTTCCTTTACGGAAGAGGGGAACGTACAAGATTCAGCGATGGGTCCTGGAATCCGTCCAATTCCAACGCTCCTTTTTGCCGACTCTTTTCAGCCGTAAATGAAAAGCAAATTTACCTATATATCAGCGACGTGGGAGGCATTGGAGAGAAAGCTAGATAACCATCTATCAGATCCTCCCATATCTGCAGGGAATCCGTTCCAAACACCCCTGCGGAGGCTGAAAAAACACAGGTTATTGTGAACGCTGTTTAATCGCAAAGGCTATACATAGTGTGGTCTCTGTCTCCCTCCTACTAGCCATTTCTGGTAACTCCTTGCAAATGTTTCCTTTCTGGGTCACAAATCTTGCGATCCTTCCATCAGCCTGCCCACTGACTGTTAGTTCTTGCAAGAGGTAGCCCCCAAATAAACTTTTGCATCATTTTTGACATTTTCCTCCTTTTTTGTGTGTGCGTGTCTCCTGATGCCCTCCCAGCGCATGAGACTACAACTCCCATTGCCCTGCTGGCCCAGCCGATGGGACCAAATGAGGCAAGGCTATAATAGATGTTTATAGAGATAATTATTCACCCCCTCCGCCTAAATAAAACCACCTATCTAAGAGTTTTTCCCCCAAGTCGCCTGCCTAATTATGCAGACAGAAAAAATCAAACCCATATTTGTCCAGGATGGCAATGTCTGGCAGAAAGGCCTGCAAGCGGACGGCCCTAAACATCATTGGTGAGTGGGATAACGGTTATGTAGCCGCTAGATAGAACCTCCATGTACAGTGGTGCCTCGCATTATGACGTTAATTCGTTCCAGCGAAATCACTGTAGAACGAAAACGTCGTAATGCGAAAATAAAAACCCCATTGAAACACATTGAAACCCCTTCAATGCGTTCCAATGGGCTGGAAACTCACCGTCCAACAAAGATCCTCCATAGGGCGGCAATTTTCAGTGCCTGTGCAGCGAGGAATCCGTCCCAGAAAACAGCGGGGAGCCATTTTATTTACCCGGCGGCCATTTTGAAACCACTGATCAGCTGTCCGAAAAATCGTCATTTTGTGAAGAATCGTTTCCCGAAGCAGGGAACCGATCATCGCAAAGCGAAAAACCCCTATTCAGACCATTGTTTTGTGATTGCAAAAATGTCGTCGTAATGCGGTTTCGTCGTAATGCGGGGCAATCGTAAAGCGGGGCACAACTGTACTGAAGCAGCATATCTCTAACGGTGACACGCTGGGGTGGAGAGAGTGGTCGGCTTCCGTTTCTCACTGCGGTTGAAGGATTTCCAAGGGGTGGGCTCTTGGGCGCCGTGCGTCATGGGCCTCATCTGACCTGGCTCTCCTCTTCTCCTTAGATGCAGTCTCTGACGTCGTGCGAATGTACCATTTGCCCTGAATGCTTCGCCCTCCACTTCACCATCGCCGTGAAAGAGAAGCACATCACGGACCTGGTCTGCCCGGCTTGCTCCGAGCCGGAAATCAGTGACGAGAAAGAACTTCTGAGCTACTTCTCTACTCTGGACGTCCAGGTATTTCACTGTCTCTCCCCCCCCCGTCCCAACCTCCCTGTTGTGAAAAAAGTGACCTTCAAATGCCTCATTCTGCAGCTCACATGACGTCTCGCGTTCTCGCGAACCGTAATGTCACTTTAACAAACCTCTCGGTGCCTTTTTCATTTTAGTCGGAAGCCCCCCCTTCCCACGGGGGAGAAGGCAAAATACTCTATTTTTCTTTGCAACGGCACAAGATTTGGGGAAATGCTACCCGAGCGAGCATCATCCCCTTTCCACCCTGCCAGGGTTAGAGGCCGCCCTGTTTTGATTGAAGAAGTGGTCCCGATTTTTAGCTAACGATTTCATCCGCTGGAAGGAGAGCTCAGGGAGTGAGGCCTCCGGCTTGCAGAAGTTGGGAGTTCGATTTCCCCGCTGGGCCTACTGGGAGTAAAGCCAGCCTGGGGTGGGGGTGGGGGCCCTGGGCCAGCTGCACTGTCCGTCTCAGGGCTCCTCAGGGAAGAAAGGCAGGAGAAACCACTTCTCTTTCTCCGTCTGGATCCTCAAAAGGGTCGCCTCGCAAGTCTGAATGGCTTGGAGGGCACACACTTCTTATTTCCTTTTCCAAATGACCGCTCGGCCCTTGAACTCGGCGGTTTCCAGGCATAAGCCGAAGTCACACCTTGTTCATCAAAGTGGAGATCCGGGAGCATTTGGGGGGAAATGTTAGCAGAGAAAAGAGAAGGAGAAACGAAAGCTGTGTATCCAGATAAACCGAGGAGAACCCTAAGACCCAGAATCATACTGTCATCAAATCATGAAGTTCATAGGGTCCTCTTAAGGCCATCAAGTCCAACCCCCTGCTCAGCGCAGGACTAGACGTCATCACATGATCACTGGCCATCCTTCAAGCCTCTCAAGATCATCATCATCATCATCTTGGAACGGCAGAACTGGAAGAGAGCCTATGGATCATTGAGTCCAGCCTCTGTCAATTAGGCCCAGTGGGGGAATCGAACTCCCAACCTCGACTCTTCCAAGAGACCCAGGACCCAGTGTAGGCGGCCCCTAACTCAGGAGCGTTAAAAACATGGGAAAAAATGGCCCCTTCTGGGATTCAGGTTGTTGATTTCGGGAGGCCT